ATAGTTTCTTTATAGCATAAATGGCAACAAGGTGTCATGTTTTTGTGAGAATGGTTTGTTTGTTTTTCTTAGTCTTTATTAAGGCTTAATAAAGATTCAAAGAATCTGAAAATCTCCATTTTTTCAACTTTTCTGGCTGTTACCATGGCAACCAAGACACATAGCAACAAAATTTCGTTTGATATATGTTTCTGATGTCAAGTTGTAATAATGGGCAAAGTTTTATCAAAATCGGTGACCATGCGTGGCAAAGAAGTTTAAGTGGTTACAGAGAATCGCTATTAATTACTGTCTCTCAAATCAGATTCTGACTGTGCTAGTGCTATGGAATTAACTTTGGCAAAATTACAGATTTTACAGTTAAATCAAATATTAGAAATCATATTAGAATTAGTATATAAATGTTATCTTACCTTAAGAGAGAAAAGTATTGTCAATGTCAGAAGGTCATAATTATAAAACTTCGTAAATACAACCCTCTCTGGACAAATACTGGACAAAGAATGACCATAACAAACAACTTTTTGGAGGGAAAAATACTGAACCAATAAAACACAACCTTACAAAGTCCAAACCAATGAAAACAGTGAATACTTCAAACCAAAGACCAAAGACCAGAACCTTCATAACCCAAGGCAATAATAATTAAGTACAGGTACTGCCTGTTCTACTTGGGTGACCTTTAAAGATTTAATAATGCATTTATATTTACAATTTAAAAACATATGAAATACATTATAGATTTATTAAATAAATTAATAAATCTAATACTGTAACACAATCACTAGTTTAAGCTACGTAGCTTGAATTACCTATATAGCTTTATTTACCTACCTGAAATAGTTTTATTTAACTACTAAATCAAACTTATTTCTTTAATTAGCTTTTTTCTCAAGATGTGCAGAAAATCGCACTTTCGTGCAGTGATAATTTTCAACTTTTAGCTCATCTGAAAACAATTCATCATGTTCATGAAAAAAATTTCTCTTGAAAATGTGTCTTTCTCTGCGCAATTGCACTCAAAGTTATAAAAGTTTTAGGGCTATATACAACGCTCAGTTAATTTGTGACCAAACAGTTACTTCTTGAATGGATTAACAAAGATCAGTTCAGGTAAACTTGATAATCGATTGGTAATTATTCAGCACAATGTGAAGTAATCATACTTATCCATACCTAACCGCACACAAAGTGGTTTATGGTTACTCAAACAGCAGAAATACATCTGTATTCCGAATGTCACAAACCCGCGCTGCACGACTCATGGTATTTTACCTTGCACAGTTACGTCTGTTCCTCGCATGACATATCCACACATTTGACAACCAACAAGTCATGAACATGCATGGTACACATGTATGTATAAAATAAAAAATTAAATTCATAGTTTAACTTGCTGTAATCCTTGTAACAACAGTAAAGCAGTGGAGATGCCAAACACCAAAACCAAAAAATATAAAAACTCATTTTTTGTTTGCACTGCAATAGACTGGAGTCATCTGGAAGAGGAAGTAGTTGTAGATAGAATTTTCTAATCATTAAAATAATAATGTGCTTCAGACCCGGTTTAAGAGAGGTGTGGTGAGGGCTCGTCTGGAGATGCAGTTAGATTATTTAACTAATTTAAAAGTAGTTCATGCCCCAAAGCTATTAAAGAGTTTTAAGACCATGTTACAACATCCTGGTGACTAAATGCACCCTCCTCCATCACATTAAAACCCAAGAAGATTCTTATAAATTTATACTGGTACATAAACAAATTGATTGAAGAAATGCCCATGTAGAAAATGCATGGTATTTTCTCGTCAATGTCGTAGCATTATACTGGTGGATGAAACTTGACATATTAGTATTGATAGAATACTTCCAATTACAATTACTTGTTTTTGATTTTAACCCAAAATCATTAAAGTCATGACTGTATTTGTAGACCCCTACAGTTTGGGGTATTTCGAATCCTGTGTGTACATGAGAGCAGATGAATAAAACACACATGCTGCACACTTGTTATATTTACATGTCAGATGTACACTCAATTTTAAGACAGGACCAAACTTTTACTAGTCAGTGTCGATCAGACATGCCTTATAAATGTTAAACCCTGTGTCCGAATGCATAAATATTTTTTACTTGTCTGATTCTGAACAGATTTAAAGAAATTTGTTGAACTTAATGAAGGCTAAATTAGCTATAAAATTAACTGACTTATTTAGATTTGTGTTATCATGAAGATAGAAATATTAATTGCACTCCTCCTCTCATTAGCAATATTTATCGAGGTATAACTGAGCGTTAAAGATGGAAAATTTATGCTATGCTTCAAGTACATATTTTAACTTCAGTATCTTGAATTGTAGGATATCACAAAGTTTTTTCTAGGACCCATTAGGTGCGATGTTTATAATCTACACTGAAATGCTTAAAAATGATTTTTTATACTACTAGTATCATTTACATTTTTGAAATACATTTTTTAATAATTTTTTTTATCATGTTTTTATCACAAATATAGTTTCAATATATATACCATGAAGAATTCACATCACATCAGAAACAGTTAATAACAAATGCCAGAAACAAATACAACAAAACAGAAACAGTTGTAACACCCTCTTGATCATCCTCGTGTGCTTTTATGCTACATATTATAATAGCTCGGGTTCGAGATTTAATGCTGTTGGTTGCTAAGCAAATGTAAACAAAAAATGGGGCATAGTTCCATTGTACGCTCATCCACTTGTCCAGTACATGTACCAGTAAAATTTTTCATGAACAAGTGATAATTGCTGACCACTTGTCCGATTTGACAAGGGATATTTTTCTAGGAAGAATTTTTTATAGCTAAGCATGAAAACTTAAAGAATTAAAATTTGTTGTCAACTTTTTATCTGAGGTTCAAAATGAAAACATGCCATGCATGCGGTTTGTAAATAGTTAAATGTTAATCCTGCTTGTAATAATGATGGCCCTGGTTGTCAAACTTGATCAGGAACAATGTTACTATGAAACTTGTCTGAAATATCTGATGTTTTTCAGGCATTTGTCACAATTTTAATTTTAATATTTAAAGTACCATGAAGTTGACTACTTAGAACTACAGTAACTTTGAAATGTGTACTTTTACTGAAGGAAATTTGGGTTTTTATTATCTGGCAGGAGAGCTTTAGCAAAAGACAATTTTAAGGCTACAAAGGATAAGCAAAAGAAGGCAAAGAAAAATTTGAAGTCATATAGTCAGCTATTTCTTGTTGTTACTATTTTTCTTTCATACATGTAATTATATAACAGGATTTACATCTACTTTAGGATAGGATGATACAGTTTAGTAATTTGTAATAGATGTGTCCACTCAAAATCTCAAAAACAGACTCCATGAATGTATTATTTTATACTATTGTAATGTACAATATTTTTTCAAATTGTTAAATAGGTCTTTTATGAAATATTTTCATACAAGTAAAAGTTATGTTCAGACAAGTAAATTTCACAGTCACTTACTTCGAGGGTAACATGCCAGAATATTTTCCCCAATTGTGTCACCCAATGTCGAATGCATATCTTGTCATTTAATTATTCAGTTTTATTTATTTTAATATATTTATATCCAAAAACCTTATTGCTTATGTAATTGCTAGTCATGAGGACCCCTGGAGATAAGCCTATTATGGCAATAGATGGGACTGAAAAAAAAAAAAAACCCTTTGAGAAACAGATAATTGAGGTTTCAAGAATAGAGGGTAAAGTTCATAAACTCACTGAACTTGAGCACTTAGACATATCCATGGTATTTGAGAAAGAGTTTTAAAATACATAAGTAAAACTGTCATTGACAATAAATTTTATTTCTCCATCTTTTATTTTAGCGCACCTGAGCCAAAGGCTTAAGAGAGGTTTTCTGATCAAAATTTGTCTGTTGTATGTCACTGTTGTTGTTGGAGGCGGCAACATAAACTTTTCACATTTTCATCTTTTTCTCTAGAACCACTTTGCCAATTTAAACCAAACTTGCCACAGAGCATCCTTGGGTAAAGGAAATTCAAGTTTGTTCATATGAAGGGCTACACCCTCTTTCAAGGGGAAATAATTAAGAATTGTTGTAAATTTAATGGCATCTTTAAAAAAATTTCTTCTCAAGAATCAGTGGACCAGAAAATGAAATTTCTGTGAATTTTAAAGCTTCATTACTGTGGGCCAGAAAATGAAAATTCTTTGAAAGCTTCATTACTTAGTGTACATTCAGGTTTGTTTAAATCATGACCCCCCAGGGTAGGATGGGGCCACAATGGACAATCAAATTTTTACATATGAATAAATATACATCATCATGTGTAGTAAAAAGAAAAGTAGAACAGCAAGGCCATTGTGACTCGGGTGAGCATTGTTGCCCATGGCCACTTGTTCTTTTTACAGGCATTTTTTACTTTGACAAATTGCACTTTAATAATATAATTATAAGCATAAATTGGATAATATTTTATTAACCATAACATTGTTAATCAAACTTTGGTATAACTGTGAAATTAACTTGTCAAATGACTAGAAATTTCTTACTGAATCTAGATATGGATATACATGTACAGTTCTACAACATTTAAAATTTTACTGTGGCTCAGCACACATAAACAGAAATTTTTGGAGATCAATAACATTTTGTCGAAATCAAAGACAAAATGAAATGCTTGGGTATTTATTTACAAAGTTTGATTTGTTAATTTTTTACCATATGAATAATTTACCCTTTCTTTCCAGTAGACCCTTGTTATGCCATGCTTAGCTTAGAGCCAGGAATAGCAAATCAAAATGAACTTAGTCAGTTGTTCTTGTTTGTAGAAAGAGACAATTTCTTTTCAGGTTCTTTTCCGGTTTCTCATTTTAGGCCTACAGTATTTATTTTTGACTCAAATATTAGGAATATTATACTTGTGGGCAATCAATGAATTCAAAGAATACTCTTTTTTTTAGGTGTTCATGATGCAACTTCCTGGATGGTGTGTAAACTGTTGTGAAATCCACATGATTGAAGGTATCTTACCTATCAATAATATCAATTTTCTCTATTAAAAGCTGCATAAGGAATATATTTTATTTCTTATCTCAAATTTTTGTCCAAGCATCATTCATTTTTTCTTCATCTTTTATCTAGTGAGGGTCATATTAATTGATTAATTTAATCAAGGCTTTATTGTAAAATGTAGTGAAATTATTTCCTTGTGTATGACCTTTAAAGGGGCATAGACTCAGATTTTAAGTTAATATTTTCTCAAATTTTCGACTAGATCATGACATATGTGTGGCTATAGTATTTCACAGGGAAATATCATAAAAAAACTTATTTTACCTGGAAATTATTGAAACTACGAATTTAGGGACGCATTTGATTGACACATCCTTGCGCTTTCACAAAGTAAACTTCATCCTTATGTGATATGTCAATCAAACGCATCCCGAAATTCATAGTTTCAATAATTCACAGATAAAATAAGTTTTTTATTATATTTCCATGTGAAATGCTATAGCCACATATATGTCATGATATAATACAGACAATTTGAGAAAATATTTCAAAATGTCGAATCTGTGTCTATGTCCCTTTAAGAGTAACAGGTAATTTCACTTTTGAATTTTTCTTATTTCAGGAGAAGTCTCCCTTGTTAAAGATCAGCAATGGCAGATAAACAATGCATGATGCAATCTACTCACTAAAAAGATTACACCAATACATCCCATGCATGTATTTCTACCTATCACCTATGTAACCTTTGTCATGATCTTCAGAGAGGTAAGAAAACAAATTATGAAAAAAAAATTTTGGTAAAAGCGACACTTAGAGATCACTTTACATGGTGTCTGTCTGTCTGTCATACCCTAGATCCCGAGAACTGTAAGAGGAATGGATTTGATACTTTGCACTTGCATTGCTTGGCAATTAGGCTTTTGTAAAATACCATATACAGTCAAACTCGGGACCTTGAGATTTATTTCAAATTAACCGAATTTCATTATATCTGTGTGCTATGAATTACATAAAAAATGTAGATACAGTTGAACTTCGTTATCTAGAACACTGATATCTTGAATACCATGGATATGTCAAAGTGATTTGCTGTCCCAACCACTTATTCTTTAAATATTTTACCCTCGATATCTCGAATCCTCAGATATCTCTAAGTTTTTTCTCGGTCCCTTCAAGTTCGAGGTAACAAGGCTTGACTGTACAGTAAAAAAAATATACATGTGAGAATTCATATTTTTACATAACATTACATGCAGTGTTTCAGAAATGTACTTATAGCGACCCGCGCTGATCGCCGAATTCGGTTAAGAATGGGGCAAAAAATAGCATCACCTTAATTTAATCTCTTCAATAGAACTTAAAATAAAATTTACCTTGTTTGAAAGAGAATAAATTAAACTTTCGATCGATGTGCATATTTTAAAGTTTATTTGTTGATGAAAGTGTGTTTTGAAGCGATAAAGTCAATACACAGAGATAAATATCGTCAATGGAGAAGTTTTATCTTCGGCGCGCGTAGCCTCATTCAAGGGGTTCACGTGAACTGAAATGCGGTGGTCTAAATACAAATGAATATGCATGAAACTTTCCAACCAATCACATGTAAGATTTTCCTACAAGACGGAAGTTGAAAGTCAGCTGTAGTCCTATTATTACGAAAGATACAATACACCAAAGTTTTTGCAGTCCTGCATGAAAAGTTATCGGTAAGTTTTTTACTTACATATATATTTTAAAAGTACACTTTCTAAAGTTTTATTTGATATAACTTTCGATTTTGTACGTTCCGGTTTATGCACCCGCATTTTGACCTAAAGGTCAACTTCATTCATAAAATTTCACGCGTCACCGGGCGCCATCTTGGAATTTTACAACTCGCAATACTACATCTCTCACAAACACGATTTACCCTATAAATGAAGCATTGTTTGTCATAGCATTATTATTTATAAAGGATATAGATAATTAGGATTGTTAAAATGAAATTATTTATTATTTTTGATGAATAAATTTGGCAATCGATGTCGTTGATGGTCGAACGAATTTCCTCAGATTTTCAGTACATCGTATTTTTACGTACACGCTTGTTATATCATTTAATGCTTTATTCTGTTGTGAACATTTATAATATGATGAATAATTTCATTTCATTCTCTTGATAATAATATTTATTCATTATATTTGCATTTGGAATAAAAATGAAACCAAATCACTCTCAGATCTATGCACTATCGTGGTCCATGCTAGACCAAATTTTTAAGGCTTTAGGATTTGATTTTAACATTCTTTTGGGTTCATAGGGAAGGGGGGAATGTTTCATGGGCCTACGCCCGCAGGGTAACCCCTGCCCAATTTTTTTTTGCTTCTTTTAACTTAGTTTTTTTTTTGTGCAGGAACAAATTTTTCATGTTTTTTTTTTTAATTTTCTTGTGGGTTTTACAGGGAAGGGGGAATGTTTCATGGGCCTACGCCCGCAGGGGTTACTCTGCCCAATTTTTTTTTTATGCATCCCCCCCCCCCGAAATTTTGATGTATCATTGATTTTTATTTCTTAAAATTTCAGATATTTGCACACCTTGTTGGAGTCATGCCTTTTGCTGATTTCCCTGTCCCAGCAAGACACCATGGACTTCCCTGGTCCATACTGTGAGAAATTAAACATTAAAAAACAGGACTTGGAAGAAATCTGTGTTTCACAGTGCGAAATAACCAATGGACTTTTGTTGGAGCTGAAGTCGTATTATGGCAACGGACGTGTGAGCCTACTACTAAAGATCTTACAATCCTTGGATGACAGATTTGCAAGTGTAAACCAGAACTCACTACTTGTGAAAATCAAAAGAACAGCTGACATTCGCAAGAAATTTTCATCGAAGAAGAAGGTCAAAGGTTTTTCATCACTTCATGACTTTTTGGATCAACAGTTCCAACCACCCTCATCGATTACTATACCATCTATTCGATCACCAACTTCTGTCCAAGATGTTAACGTTCTGTGTGAAATTTCTGAAATTGACACCCAGACCAGCCGAGATGAGATCTCTTCAACACAGGAGCCACTTCCCATTCTGCCTTCCACTCTGAGTTCAACTACTGGACATGAGTCTGTTAGTGTCAAGAACTGTCTCGACATAGATGCCAAGGAGTCCAATTCTATGCAGTATGAACTAATGAAAAGAAAGAAAGCTTTAGAAGTTGTGAATAGTGAGATAAAATGTGCTTCAGAAAAGCTTCAGGCCCTCCAGTCTAAAGTTGGACATTTCTCTGTAAAGAATGTGAACAAGAGAGATGAAATCAGTAGAAAAAATCTTCACCTGCTCAGGGATTCACAGCGCACTGTGAGGAAGCTAACAACAGTTGTCAAATCGTTAACGGAAGCCTGCAACGCAAATAATGAAAAAATTAAAAACCTGGAAGCAGTGAACAAAGACCTTGTAAACCAGATGAAAGACTATAAGGACACAAAGGCAGCACTTAAAGCTGAAGAAAAGAAAAAAGTGATTGCCCAAAAGTCTGCAAGTTATTACAAACACTCATCAAAGCACATGAAAGAACTATTGAATTCACCTGTTCAAGATCCTGTCACCAATGAAGATGAAGAGAAGGCCAGAGAAATTGAAGCATTGACCTTGGAAGTTGAGAGACTGCAAGACTTGCTCCAAAACTACGTCAAAACACGAAATAAAGATGGATCATTTGTGGACAGTATCAGAACTTGTGTGATAGAACTGACTGGTCTAGAAGTAGCTAATGAAAAAGTTTCACCTGTCATTTGCTCAGTGGCAAAACATTTATTTTCAAAAGAATTTGCCAAGGGGGACCTTCCTTCCAGCAAGACTGTGCAGACAATTGTTGACGAGGGCCACTATGTTGCTAAGGCATTTATTTCGGAAAAATTGGCTAGCGCCAGCAGCTGGGGATTAAACCGGGACGGCACCACAAGGAAGAAGCAGAAGATTCTGGATACATCCATTACTCTATCATCTGGTGAAGTGATGAGTCTTGGATTTACTCGAGTTTCACATGAGACAGCAGTTGCCATAAACGACACAACAAAAGAACATTTTAGTGAGCTTGCTAGCCTGCAGAATGAGATACATGCAGAAACCAACCATCAGAACTTTATAAGATCATCGTTAGAGAAACTTGGGTATAGCATGAGTGACCGAGCAGCCAATGAGAAGAAGGCGAATGAATTACTTGCCAGCTGGAGGACTACCATCTTGCAGCAATGTGAAGATGAACATGAGCAATCAGAGGTCCTAAACTTTTACTGTATGGCCCATGTCCTCCTTGGATTTCATTCATACTCAAGCAAAGAGTTTCAGGAGTTTGAAAATCACCTTGCTTCTGAGATTGGACCCCTAGGCAGAGACAATTTCCCAGTATTTAAATACTGGAGCAAGAAAGGAACTGTAGTGGAGAGAGTGGTGCGGACAGTTTCCGATGTGTTCGGTCCGTCTGGTGACCACCATGGTGTTCGAGACCTATCGGAAGCTCACTGTGCAGAAAATGGCATTAAATCGCTGATTGGAAATTACAGGGACAACCGGTTTAATGCTCTATTCCAAACAGCAGCAGAAATTCTTGTGCATCGTGAGGATTTCATAACAGTTCTTGAAACAGTCCAAACGCCCAATTTAAAACTCAAAGCTGTTTTAGCAGATTTGAAATGTGATGTAATTGCAGTCCTCTTACAGTGCTTTGGACTTCTTTATGTGAAAGTGACTGGTCCTTACTGGAATCTCATAACCAACTCCGGAGTTCCATACTTGTACCTTTATAGACATATGACTGAGTTGCATGGGTTTCTGGACAAGTGCATCAATGATCCAGCCCATCTTCTAAACAACGTTCATCACTGGAGTGAAGATGACCCATCTGACCTATCAAGGATCCCACAAAGAAACCGCATATCTCATGCAGTGTTCCACATTCATGAAAATCACAGACAGCATCTGTTTACTGCCATCAAAACTGTTGCAAAGGCAATGAAAGCAACAATGGACAAACAACTCAAGGATTTCTTACCAGATGGAAAATTCTGCAAACCACCATCAAAGAATGAACTAGCACGAACATCGTTTGCCCATGTCACAAATCTAGGATGTGAACACCACTTCGGTGACTTGGACAGTAGCCAGCGCAGACGCCCAAGAGCAACAATGCATCACCACTCCTCAGTACAGCTGATTAAACGGAATAGAGTAAAAATGATGGACTGGTTAGGTGAAATGACCCCAGAAAAAAGACAAGAGCTTTTGAAGACCGCAAGAAAGGGTGGAAAAACTCTTCGCGAAGCCCATATTGCAAAGGAGAGGAGTGTACTGACAGAATTGCATGCAGAAATGTTGCAAGCAAAGAACAAGAAGAGGAAAAACAAAGAAAACCATCAAAACAGGCGGAGAAACAGACAACGACCTGATGACTCAGATGAGCCAGGAGACTCGGATTATGAGAATGATGACCACCTCCTAGAAAAGTTGCCTGGAAATGATGTGCGTGTGAACGAGTATGTTGCAGTGGCGTATGATGACACGTGGTATCCTGGAATTGTGATGCAGATAAAGGAGACTTGTGTTGTTGTTAAATTCCTTGACTGCACAAAGAACCAAGGTGTGTACCAGTGGCCACGTCGTGATGACATTCAGGATGTCAACGTTCGATATATTCTGAAGAAAGGATTCATTCCGGAATGTTTGAATTCAGGACGGATGTGGGGGATTTCCGAATTTAGTGACATTGAAAATTTGTATAAACAATAC